GGGAGCCTTGATTGCTATGAAGGGCTCGGTCCTCGGTATTGGAACCGACATTGGAGGCAGTATAAGAATCCCTGCAGCGTTCAGCGGCATCTATGGATACAAGCCAACAAGTGGCATCTTGTCAACTAGAGACTTGGTACACGTGCCTATGGTAGCTGAGCTCACTGTCTTAGCCAACGCAGGTCCCATGTGTCGATCAGCACGCGACATGGACCTCTTCATGCGTATTCAGCTTGATGCTAAGCCGCATATCAGAGATCTGACATTGGTTCCCACGACTTGGACTGGCTTGTCGACCGGGCTAGGCGTGACTCTTGGCCGCCCGCTCAAAGTTGGCGTCATGACACACGACGGCTTCATCCAGCCTCAGCCACCTCTCAAGCGTGCCCTGTCATGGGCCAGTACCCTGCTGTCAGAGCCTCGGCTATCGGGGCTTATTGAAGTCAAGCCATTCCTACCTTACGGTGTGAAACAGGCCTGGGACGAAGTCAGGCAAGCCTACTCTCCTGATGGAGGTATTCCAACTCGTGATGCTATTCTCGCAACAGGCGAGCCAATCTATCCTCTGACCGAATGGATCTGGAAGACAGCCGCTCCCAAGGGCATGTTGACTGCCGGTGAAATGGCTTACGTACGCAAGGCATGCCTCGACTTCCGAAGTTCTTTTGCAGAGGATTGGGAGCGCCAGGATGTCGATGTCATTCTTTGTCCCACTGGCGTTGGGCCGGCTACGACTCACGACACAAACTTCTATCTTATGTATACAGCTCTGTGGAACTATCTCGACTGCCCTGGCTTGGTGTTCCCTACGGGGCTCAAGGTTGAGGAGGGTGAGAAATACGACACGGATTATAAGCCTCTGGGTCCCGAGTGCGCTCACGTGAAGGACCTCTGGGAGAGTGGGAACTTCGAAGGGGCACCTATCAACCTTCAGCTTGTGGGGAGGAGATATCATGACAATCAGCTGTTCGGAGCTTTGAAGCTTCTCCAAGACGCTCTTGGACTTGAATGAGTGTTGCAAAGAGGTAACGGAATACGTGTACATATATTTATAGTTGCCTGGTGTTTTCCGTGTTGTACAGGGTGTAAGTGGCTAGTCTGCACCTGAGAATATCCTCAGGAAATCGTCCTGAGGTCCCGGACGAAGACCTTGCCCACGACTTGATATACTAGTACCAGTACTTTCATCCTGTTCAGAATACAATGCTCTGCTGTCACTTGCCGCGACACTCAAGACCCATCTGTGTCTGATATTCTGTGCTGGAGCTCAAGTTGCCATTACCTCTACACCCTGACTCACTTTCAGCCATCACATTGATTTTAGACATGTACTCTTTGAAGTTGTCAATGGCAGTTGCTGACCAAAATATGCAGTCGCAATTTAATGTGATATTCATGAACGATCGTCCTGATAGCGCTAACAAGTTTCGAGACCAAAGCCGTCTCTCCCTTTCAACATAGTTACCGTCTAAACAACCTCGCGGGTTTGCACTTGAGTCTGCTGTTCGTCTGCCTTTGAGTCTCCAAAGTGGATCTGCTTCTCGACAGCAGCAACGGTCTTCTCCTTGAGTTCCTCGTCCTCGAAAACTATGATCTGTCAGTACTATCCTACTAAAGTGGTGAGAGTGAGGCAACATACGGAATGCAAGTTCCTCGAGGGTTCGGCCGCTGGTCTCGGGGTAGAGAAGGTAGACGATGCAAAACTCGAAGAAAATCCAACCACAGTAAATGGCCAGGTATCGCCACTTGATAGCATCGAGAGCAATGGAGTTGACGTTGGTGGAGAAGAAACCGGCAAGCTTTCCGAAAATCTGCTGGACACCGATACCACGGCTTCGCATAGAGTAGGGCCAAAGTTCGACCAGGTAGGCTGCAAATTGTTAGTTTGGACTTGAAAATGGTGACTGATGACTTACTGTATGTGAGAGCGTTGTTTCCGATGGCGTAGGTTGGCGAGTAAGCGAAGTACCAAAACAGAGCGGCAATACCGGCAGCATTATTCTTCTGGCCCTCGGGGACAGCTTGAATTCTCTCAAGAGATACGGTGATGCCGATGAAAGCACACAGCATGAGAGCAGCGGAAAGCATGTACATGTGTCGACGCTTGAAGCGAGTGACGATCAAAGCAATGATGGTAGCATTGAGAAGACTCCAGCAAGCATAGGCCAGGTTGATTCGAGTCTTTGTGTAGTCGTCCGTGAAGCCCATCATGCCGAAAAGAACACCAGAATAGTAACTCAGAAGAGTGTTGCCGGAAAGCTGAGTGAAGAGACCGATGAAGATGGTAACGACGAATCGACGGCGCATACCGGCAGTGCGGATAACCTCGAACCAGGACTGCTTGGAGGCTTCCATCTCGGCTTTGATGGTCTCTCGGATTTGAACGATTTCGGCCTGGACAAGCTGGGAGGTGGCGTCACCTTCGGCGTGGTACTTGATGAGGACCTGAGCGGCTTCTTCTTCGCGGTCTTTGGAGACGAGGAAACGAGGAGACTCGGGGAGGAGGAAGACGGTGGAGATCTGGATCAATGAGGGGACGATCTGCAGCAGAGAGGGCAGACGCCATGACCAGTTGTTGGTGATGGGAGTTGTGCCCAGAGCGATAGCAGAAGCGAGAATCTGACCGATGAAGTAGGATGCGTTGAACAGAGATGTGAGGACAGCACGCTCCTTGGGATATCCCAGCTCTCCGATGAGGGCAGAACCAGAGATAATACAGAAGAGAATTCCAACACCAAGAATCATACGGGCAATGATGTACATGGCAACTGAGAACTCGTCAGCAAATTGAATATTGGATCGATCAGAGGTCTCATACCGTGCTGGGCGAATCCCTGGATAATAGCACCGCCAACCATGATGAGAGAACCAAGCATAATGGACCATCTTCGACCGAATCGCTGAGCAAACCAAGGCGCAAATGGGACCGCAAAGATAGAGCCGAGCTGGTAAGAAGAGTTGACAAAGCCAAGCAGACCTGGTTCGATCGCCCACTTGCCTTCCGCGTTCTTTCGTCCGTTACCGAGATCTATAAAAACCCGTCAGCTCTGAACCAATTCTCCATAGATTTGTAGTTGATTCGTACAGTGGTGGAAGTTCTGAGAGTATTGGAGCGTATTGATGAGTTGCGAATCGAAACCAGAAGTCATCTCAACACCCATACAGCAGAAGAACAACCAGACGTACATAAGACGCAGATTGGGCTTTTTGTACCATGGCGTCTTGTCCTCCTCGACGAGGCGAGTGACGATGGGGTCCGCGGCGCTACCAATGTTGACCATTTTGGCGAATTGGCTCTTCTAGGCTTGTCGAGTAGTGTTATGCAAGGGCCCGTCTCCAGAATAGTAAGGGAAACCAAGCTTGAGAGATGGGAAACGAAAAAGATTTCAATGGGGCATTGCAGATCATATTATACATGAGCTTTCCTCCTCTCCCCCGCGTGCGTGTAGATAAGATAGAGAGCTATGAACCTAGCGGTAGCTTAACCGAATTCTCCGTATATAGGCTAATTATGGAGTTGTCTGGGGAAACGTGGAGTCTCCGCAAAATACTTGGTTCACTGGGCTTCAGACCGCTGTCCATGTTGCATCACGACGTGACATTCCCGTCAGCGGCCGACCACCAGGGACCGACGATTCGCTCGCATGCAACCAAACCCCGGCCTAGCTTAGGTTGACAGTCCCCCCAGAATCTCTATTCTGTTCAAACGGATTCTCGAGCCGAGGTGCTGCTCTCGGTCCAACTTTGCGGTTAAACGGACCGGCTGATGGTGGGTTAGCTTATGCTTAAAGCGCTGATCGTTTTCTATCTTTGTATTAGACATATGCCAGATCTAAAACAAAAACCACATAACTGCTACCGAAATTTGCGGGGTTAGGATACGAGCTAGCCTCTGGTTTTTTGGGGTAGTCCATGAGGTTGGGGGGCGGTTCTGCAATTTCCCGTCCATTTGAGTGAACTGATGCTGAGTTATGGAGACAAGGGTGTAGGTCGACTGGCTGAGACTTCAATCATGTATTCATGACTAACTTTAATACTGGGCTGATATAAACACGGTAAACAGCCTCGGCAAGTGAATATAGCCAGCCATTCAGCGTCGTCTATATGTCAGCTCCGTTTCACCTCATCTCACCATAAGCCTCTTCCCCGGACCTCATGGAATAATTCTCGAAGACAAGAATAAGCATAAGTTTCAAGCAAGAGATGTTGGTTTCAATCCCATCTAACATTTTGGAGAAGAGGGTTGCACCGGGATTGTCAATGCCCTCCCCCCTGTCTTTCAGCTCGTCAACCGTCCACCTGGAACCGGCTTTTCAGGCTAAACACCCGGAGAATGCAAGAACCATTAGGTATTTAAAGCTTGGCAGCCGCTGCAAAAACGAGAAGCACAACCCCTGGGAGGGTTGACAGTGAGCCCTCCCAAATGCGTGGGGGAACCTCGTGTGCGCACGCGGGTATACAGTAGTGCCGCTCTGCCATTTCCGGATGAATCCTTCCAAGACGCGGTGCATCATTTGAATTGAGTATGCTTACTTTTAATATGTTTTAGGTCTATTGACAAAGATTCCAATGGCGGCGGGCCGAAAGGGTGATAGTGAACCACCGGATGAGTCGTCCGAACCAATGGATGGCGAGGTATTACAATAAGGCTTTCATTGCGAGGTCATCACTGGGCTTACAAAGATCCCTTCTTCTGTGTGTGATGCATCAATAATGGCAAAAGGAGACAATTTGCATACCAGTTGGGGATAAAGTTGTCGGGTGATGAGCTTGGCAAATGTCGATGAGACAATTAGGAAGAGGCCGAGACTGGGGAACCAGTAATTGACTGGGTAATAAAGGGATCTGCAATTGTTTAAGAATTCGTTGGCTTGTAGGGTAACATTTGAAGATCATGTTCTGGTTAAGGCTGATGTTCTGGAGGGTATGATCAAGGCTACCGAACAAGGGCTGAGAGGCGAAGTATATAGACGCCAAAAGTTTTCCGCCTAGTATATTTAGGGCGTGTGGTCTAGGGGTATGATGTTCGCTTCGCATCTTTGTGCATCTGCGAAAGGTCGAGGGTTCAATTCCCTCCTCGTCCAAACTTTTGCTTTTTGCTTGTCTTGATCAACACACCATCTATCTCACGAGACGGGATCTTCGTATTGTTGCCAACCTCACCGGGTACCATGTGTTTCTTTTCTCTCGGGCTATATGTGAATGTATGGGCTAGGACGTGTCTCGGAAGCCCACCATAATGAGCGATGTATCTGGATCTCGACATGCCGCTTTCTACAGCCCTCGTCACAAATACACCACGAAAAATCCTTGGCAGACTGCCTGTAACCAAGGGTTCCTTTTTCAAACTTGCAGTCAAAAGTGGTTATTGCCGGTTGGCTGTTCCCAAGTCCGATAATATTCGGAGTTCTATCAAAATGATTCGGTGCAAGGACCTCAATATGGAGGTAGCACCGTAGGATTCTCTCCGAATGGGTCTGTCAAAATCCTTCTCAAATGTCTTTCTTGGCAGACTCCCTCTCAGAATATGCTTGGGTTCCTTCCATTTCTCCTTTTATCAAATTCGTTCGTTTGACTCCATTGTCTTAACCCCTTTTCTCTCGAAATCCTCAGTGCCTTGATTCTTTTTTCCATAGTCGAGTCTGCTCAATACCCTAGTAGGTCTCGCCCTCTATGACGAATCTTCTTGAGCTCCTCGCACTTCGGTTCCGATTCCTTCGATATCGTAGCCATCTTGTCCATCTTTCAATATCCATGTCCCCATGCTTCCCAACCTGCTTTATGTTGACGCTCATATAAACGGCTTAGAGCCAAAGAGCCCTTAACAAACGAGATGGCTATGTCATACGAGTAACCTTGAATCAAGAAGGCGAAAAGTAACATCTGTTGAAAAGCCACCAAGTCTGTCCTAACTTTAGGATAGCTTATCCTAAATGTACATAAATATTATCATCGCTTAGGACTAAAGTCTCAGGCTCTCTGCTGTCTCCTAGGTGCAGTAGTCCTTTATATAGATTGATATCTGCTCTTTCGTTGACAGGGTAATCACTGCTATCCTTTCTTTGTAGCTTTGGCAATGGCTCGACCTTCTATAGCTGGATGCCTATGACGCACCAGCTCGCCCCGAACCACTTTCTGGATACTAGTTTTACTGTAATCCAACGTTCAAAGAAGGTGTTTTGGACACTAAACGTCCAGCATAAGAACGATGGCATCGTCGTTCGGACCCAAGTCACCAAGCTCGGTTTAGAACTCTTTAGCCAGGAACTAGCCAAGTGTATCGTTAAACGCACCAGGCCACAGCGAAGTCATAGTCGTATTTTCCATGTGAAACGCCGGCTGCAATTTCTTCGAGCCTCAATTCATTAAGGAATACAGCTGCCGAATTCCGCCATGTCATTGAGCGTCGTATACCCCGCTGCCTATACAGGGGAGCGATAGAGTCATTCGCCGGTATAGTCTTGTTTTGAGATGATAGTAGCCGAGGTCGACTAAAACCTCGCATGTAACGCCTGATAATTGAAATCATATTGTTCTAGGCTTTTGTCAGTTTACGTGTGCTCTGGACACTTAGTGCGGTACTTTTGAAGATTTCTAATTGCGTACGTACGGCGCCTGAAAATGCGGGCAGAACCCCTCAACTATGAGGAGCACCAGTCTACGCGTCGATGATGCCTCAGATAGACCCATTTTCAGACTGCGTTATTTTGAAGTAGATATTTTTGAACTCATCTACTTAAGACGAATAGAACTCCAAATTCTAGGTACCTATCCATCTCAAAAAGCCCCATTGACTCATCTTGTCACTACGTTGCTCATTGCCACGAAAATGTCTCAATTGACGCTGTTTACGGATAGCCGGTTCCCTTGTCCCCAGAGATTGCAATTAGCGATTCTCGAGTTGGGCCTCAAAATCACCAACATTCATCAGGTGGACATTATCAAGCGTGAGCAGCAGGTATGTGATAACAATGTTGCCGATGAGACCAAGCGACGCTAATACTTTGTGCAACTGTATTAGAAGCCAGAATTTCTTGAAATCAATCCTTTTGGAGCTGTTCCATGCCTCCAGGACCATTCGCATGATCCACTTCTTATTCTGACCGAGTCACGAGCTATTGCGCGATATCTCGCGGATCGATATGGCGGACCGGACGATAAACTCATCCCTGACGGTGACGTTGAAAAGGCAAAGTTTGAAGAAGCTGCATCCATCGAATTGACCTCTTTCGATGCTGTTGCTAATCCACTGGCCTTCGAAGCCTACTTTAAACCGTGGGTAGCCCTGCCTACGTGTGGAGCGAATAATGCATTAACAAGTTTCGCCAGGAAATTTATGAAACAAGAGCCGAAGGAACAGGTCGTCAAGGATCTCAAAGTGAAGCTTGAACGATTTCTGAGACTCCTTGACCAGAAGCTTAGCACACAGCCTTTCATGGCTGGTGAGGTCAGTATGATTGAGATTCGATATCTGTAACAGTGCAGCTGACATACATAGACTGTTACACTGGTTGACTTTTTTTATGTCCCGTATATGCACTACCTGGAAGATGAAGTTTGGCCTACCCTTCTAGAGGGTCACACAAATCTACTTACTTGGTGGAATCGGATGAAAGGTCGAGAGTCTTACCGACAGCTGTATGAGGATGGCAATAAGGGGATCTATGATCTATGATGCTTAAATCGATGCATCATATTATTGCTGATTGCCGGTATATATGTTAGTGATATCTATTCTTTACCTTTATGTAGGGTTTAAGCTTCGTTTAGCCCCTCAACCTTATGATTTTATCACTAGTATTATCACTGGCGAATTTAAACTAGACATATATCTTAGTACTTCCGATGATATGTACTGGCTGAGTTCTTTTTATTTCCCCTTGGCATTCTATAAATCAATGCCCCAATCTTCAGATACCCTATTGTCCACAAACCTGTCAAAATAGTCCAGAATCCTCTCACAATCAGCTCTACACTCCCTATCTGGGTGCAACATCTCATCTTGGATGGGTTCTAGGAGTCATATAAGGAACGCTGGTCCGTTCTTGCGATATATTTCGTGTCTAAGTTTTGCAATCCACTTCGAGGCAGTTAGATTATTATGACACATTTAAAATTGTGGAGCGAAAGATTTACGTACCTGCAAGGCTCGGGTCCTGAAGATTGGCACTGCCATAGCTTTTACTGATCTATTGCTCTAGTTGTAAGTATTAGTAGAATGTATACAGTGGTTATCTATCTCAATATTGACCAGGAATCCAGGTCCGCGACCCCGAGCTGAAAGTCCTACGTCGGCCGAAGGAAGTGTCGTCCTGCTGATCCGGGAATAATCTGGAGTTGATGTGCCCGGCCTCTAGCTGTAAATACGTTCCGCAAGGCATCGACGATCCTGGACTTTCCGGTAACGCCTGGGCCGCCAATTTATCCAAGATGTTGGCTAGTGGAGTCTGGATGGTCCATGTACTTATCCAAGAACCGGCACAAAAGTTTTAGCGCCATGCTCTGTAGACCGTTGGTATGTGGAGGCGGCTCGAAGTCCCAGCTCCGTGGAACCTACGACGGGACCTGGTTCGACGAGCATTCAAGAATTTTATGCTTCTGAGTCTTTTAACTGTCTCGGAATGTGCATTTCTGTATCGCATCGCTGAACAAGCAGATAGTCAACGCCGGCGTTACCAATAGACGTCGCATTAAGGATTAGGTGAGATTTTATGGCTCGAACCAGCCAAATGATCTCCACTTAGCCCTCCAGGCGAAACGGATGAAAACTCTTGATTATAAGCCCCTGTTTTGGAACCACTTCTTCAGAGGGCCGGCATGAGCTGGTGCCAAAGATGGTGTCAAGGTGTCCAGTGATTATAGAGCCTCCAGTCAAGTCAAGACCTCTATAATCAACGTCAATTTTGATGAAGTTGGTGTCTGCTGAGTTGCTATAGACTCGCTCCATCGCCGCATGGGAATTTCCAAAAGAAGGAAACAATAAGATATATTATTGTTCTAAGGACATAGGAAGTCGAAAGAACTGTAAAACGAGCGTTGAAAAGTTGGAGTATGATCAGGAGCAAGCCACTGCCCTTAAAAGGTGAGTTTGGAAGGCTTATGGCCACTCTAAGTGATCGGTGGTTCTTTTAATATCTCCTAAGATGAATTCTTTAAACCAATGAACTCACCAAAACTGCATACTGATCTGGTGACCACCTGGCCATCGAGGAGTCAAGGTGCGGGAAAGGTGGTCTTACAACGGGTGAAGTCTTAGATTAGGGCGTGCCAAATGAGCTCTCAGAGAATTAAATGACCTTCAAGAGCTCTGTATATATCATTATGTCGAAAATGATTTGTCGATGCTTTGCGTGCATGTAAGCGGCCAACTAATGCGGGCCTGCTCAGATATGTATGCAGCCGGCTGACCCAAACCAGGGACATTTAGGTTCCCGTCAGCAACTTGTCATTTTTGATATTGTACTCTCAGGTAAGAAATGGCTTGAAATGATTTGTCGATACAGGAGTCAACTATGTTGCCTAGAGTGTATTCCCTTTCTCGGTCTCTGGCCATAGACTTCTTCCGAGACGTTGACAAGTCTGACAAACGCAATTGATACTAGATGTAAGTGGTATCTGGCCTACAATTGTCTCCAGTAAATTATCAAACCGCTGCTTCTTTCTTCGTCTTGGTGTGATCAACAGAGCAGTGAATACAGCCCAATTCTCGCTGGGTATTATGTAAGAAAACGTGAAATTGAATTTCGTTCTTCCCAGTATCATACCAAAATAAAACCAGATACTGAAACTAACCAATTTTACTACTGCAATTCCTCCTTATGTTGAACAAATGAAATAAGAGGACAAAAAGGTGCTAATACCAGGGAGGCGCTCCCAAAGCATTATTCAGATACACAAGGATCATGGTATCGGGTAACCGTCCATTACATGTTTCCCAGATCTCCATCAGTTTCCCCGGCCTGCCTAAAGGATTGTGTACTGTGGAAGTAGTCCATGTCACTTCCCTGTAAGTCTTGTTGAAAATTCTGGTACGAAATATCTGGAGGCCATAGCTGATTTGAGAAGGCGTTACCATCGCCAGTCT